ATCTTGCCCTGTCCGATAACTGACAATATTTCAGTGCTCTCTATAGGATTTTCAGTGGCTCATGACTCTCAAGTGGATGGCCTATTCTTTCTTTATAGTCTTTCTTAGTCTGGAAGCTCTGCTCAAGTTTCCATGACCCTGCTGGCATTTGAAATACCTGTGGCATAGCTACCAGCATTATAGCAATGCAAAAGCCACCACAGTACAACAAGATCACAGTCAAGGGATGCCTAGGTTGTCTACATATATGAAATTCACGGTATTTGTCTGACTTTGTTCTTAACAGCTGCTCTGACATTCAAGTGTCTGGGAGACCAATGGCCTGTGTACTGCCGGGTGATCCGCGAGAAGAACCTATGTCAAGACATGCGGTGGTATCAGCGCTGCTGTGAGACCTGCAGGGACTTCTATGCCCAAAAGCTGCAGCAGAAGAGTTGACCTTTAGCAGGACAGCTGCATCACAACTCTTTGCAGTTATGCTGTTTATAAGGTCACACACTAGCATGTTTTTCAGACCAAATATAATCATATTACATTATAATTTTATAAAATTAATTTATTGTTTTCCTGCTAAACATCAATATGGTGCTTATTTTGGTCACACAGACATCTTGGGGTATCCTATATGACTTCATAAATAATTCTATATTAATAAGTTGGATCCACTTACTGGAATAAAATGAAGAAAGAAAGTAAAATCATGATCATTAGAATTTTTAAATTACTTTTTTAAAGTTAGGGCCGTCTCTAAGGTGCTATTCTCTCCCCACAAATACTATTGAGTTAACCAGAATGTATACTACCTTAGCTTAATAGTTTAGTAATATATGGAGAGAAATATTTTGTGTGTGTGTCCTGATGTGGACTTAGCTCATTTTCTGTAATCTGTGGAATATAACTAACCTCATACTGTTGAACAGGTCTTCAGAGAATGTATTATGCATTTGGTTCATATAAAGAGACATCAATAGGAAAAACTCTACTGTAATTATAACCTTATGTTAATAATGGAAAAGAAAAGTCAAAATAGAGACTTTGATCATGTTCATGAACATGTACTTGAACACAAGTATTGTAACAATGAAACACTGTAAAGATTTACACTGAATCACCATTGCACTGTTGATATAGTGTAGAGAAACCATTAATAGAAATGGTAACATCTTACAAAAATATGTATTATTTTAACATGTTGTCATTAGATTTTAGTTTTAAAAAAATATGTTTAAACAACATTGATCCACCCATTTCCTTGTATCTTTTCACCGGGTTATTGAAAGAGTGTAGAATTTAGCTTCACAAATCACTATGAGAACATTTGCTAAATACTTTTCCACCTTTTCCCTTGGAACAAGGAAAGACAAAAAGATGTATAAAACTGTTGTAGTTTCATTGTTTTTATTCCTTTTGAAAATTAAAAAAAAGTTTTGCAGTTCTGTGAAACGTTAAAAAGTCAGCTTAAAATTTTTCTTGTGAAAAAATTTATTGTACATGATTCGCATGATTTCTTACATTTTTCAATAAAATATGTGAAACTTCCTGCTGGGAGACAATCGTTCAGAGGTCTCTACATTTCTGTAGACACATACAGAAGACACATACAGTGTCTTGTGTGCATAGACACTGCCTGGTTTTGTTTTGGATTTTCTTTTAAAGGACGTTTCTTAGCACACACTGTGTAAGATGGAAATATTGTCTGTGTCTGGAGCAAAGGGCATGCTTACTGCTCATGATAGCAGTTGATTCCCTAAAATTGGAATTTCTTTCCTGTGACATAGCCCGTTACATGTGCCGCTGTCACCTGGCCCGTTTCATATTGCCCCGCCTGTGAAAATTGAGGTTAAGAAAACTGGTACAAGCAAATATTGACTCTTTGGCTATTGGCATTGTGAGTAATAAAGTTCTTTGTCTCTCAACCAGGAGTCTGTGTCTTCTCCTCTGGAGCTTTGGAAGGCTAAATTCATAGCTTGCAAACAGGGTAAAGCCCCAACACTTTATTTAGTACATCACACTTCCCACATTCATATTTTCCTTTTCATTTTGATAGGCTATTTTAATGTAGAAAACATTTTGTTTCTAAACCAGCTCTCACTATGTAGATATTTTCATATAATTACTAGGATATTAAGTCAGTCTATGCCAACAAAGGTCTTGTGCTAGATAATAGAGAAATGTGAGACCACTGGGGGAAACAAAAGGATAAGAAACATATCAAAACAAAGAAGAAATTCTCATAGTCCCAGTAGTCTTTGTCTCTGCAACAGGTGATATGACTCAGTCAGATTTTTATAACCTGATTTTATCATTGCCCATCCATTTTTTCTCGGATTTTTATCAAGCAGTTCATTTTATAATTGATCTCATCTAGGTGGGTCACTTAACTCTTCATTCCTGAAGGAGCTTCCACATGGACTCTCCTGCCTATATTGGGTTGCGGTTGTCCCATAAAACTGTTAT